TATGAAGTAGACGTGGACGTATTTGATGCCAGTTGGCTCCATTGATGTTAACCTTGTTCACATTTTTAAAGATAAAATTACTTACATGGATTGACCAAAATTAACATATCGGGAATTGCCGATGAAGCAGAAAATCAGTACTCTTCCGGAACACCTGGTTTTAGTATTCTATTTGTACTATTTGTTGGGTCCCAACGTTAATTTTTCTTTTATTAATATTTTGTTCCCTTGTCATATCGAATTGGAGTTTGAATATAATTTTTTTTGTCATGTCTTCTTCGTTGTCTTCGTGAGTGGATCAAGAACGTTAGCGCCACAGCAACTGAAGGCGAAACAATGCCACTTTCGTGCTGTCACATTAGTCGCCGCTCAAGATTACGCAGCACAACACGGAGGAAAACCTTGTCCCAGCGCTAGAACTCTACCATAGTTATCTTTCACCATCGCGTAATATAATTTTGGTGGGAACTACCCAAGTAATATTTCACGATCAAGAAGAAATCCTATTGGGGAGACCCACATTTTGCTTCTCACGATCATGCGATAGAGTTCTTGCAAGGGAATGAAATAAGTTACATCTTGTAATCACATTGTAGAATTTCTCAGGGAAGCCGCATAAGTTACCTCTCTCGATCACGCAGTAGAGTTCCTGGTGTAGCCGTATAAGTTACCTCTCTCGATCACGCAGTAGAGTTCCTGGTGTAGCCGCATAAGTTACCTCTCTCGATCACGCAGTAGAGTTCCTGGTGTAGCCGTATAAGTTACCTCTCTCGATCACGCAGTAGAGTTCCTGGTGTAGCCGCATAAGTTACCTCTCTCGATCACGCAGTAGAGTTCCTGGTGTAGCCGCATAAGTTACCTCTCTCGATCACGCAGTAGAGTTCCTGGTGTAGCCGCATAAGTTACCTCTCTCGATCACGCAGTAGAGTTCCTGGTGTAGCCGCATAAGTTACCTCTCTCGATCACGCAGTAGAGTTCCTGGTGTAGCCGCATAAGTTACCTCTCTCGATCACGCAGTAGAGTTCCTGGTGTAGCCGCATAAGTTACCTCTCTCGATCACGCAGTAGAGTTCCTGGTGTAGCCGTTCTCGATCCTCTCTCACACAGTAGAGTTCCTGGTGTAGCCGCATAAGTTACCTCTCTCGATCACGCAGTAGAGTTCCTGGTGTAGCCGCATAAGTTACCTCTCTCGATCACGCAGTAGAGTTCCTGGTGTAGCCGCATAAGTTACCTCTCTCGATCACGCAGTAGAGTTCCTGGTGTAGCCGTATAAGTTACCTCTCTCGATCACGCAGTAGAGTTCCTGGTGTAGCCACATAAGTTACCTCTCTCGATCACGCAGTAGAGTTCCTGGTGTAGCCGTATAAGTTACCTCTCTCGATCACGCAGTAGAGTTCCTGGTGTAGCCGCAAAGTTCCTCTCTCGATCACGCAGTGGTTTACCTCTCTCGATCACGCCTGGTGTAGCCGCATAAGTTACCTCTCTCGATCACGCAGTAGAGTTCCTGGTGTAGCCACATAAGTTACCTCTCTCGATCACGCAGTAGAGTTCCTGGTGTAGCCGCATAAGTTACCTCTCTCGATCACATGGTCGAATACATTTGGTAGCCAGATAAGTCACCTCTCCCGATCACGTGGTCAAATTCCTGTGGTTGCCAGATAAGTCATCTCTCCCGATCAAACCGTAGAATCTCTGAGGGGAGCCGCATACGTTACCTCTCCCGATCACGTGCGTAGAATTCCTAAAAGGGGACGTATAAGTTACCTTTCTCTGTCACGCGATAGAAATTCTTAGGGTAACCGCATAGTTACCTCTCTCTGTCACGCGGTAGAAATTCTTGGTGTAGACGCGTAAGTTACCTCTACCAATCACGCAGTAGAACTCCTGTAGCGGTCATGTAAGTAACCTCTCTCAATCACGCAGTAGAATTCCTGTTTGGGAGTCACGTTAGAAACCTCTCGTGATCACTCAGTATAATTTCTGGGGAAACCATGTAAGTTGCCTCTTACGATCACGCGTTAGGAAACGAAGGAAAAGTCTGATTATAATTATCTTTAAATACCCATGAGCCCACACGGATTTGCTAACAATTGACAAGTGATGATTCTAGTTTGATAGTAGAACACCTGTAGACGGTATATTTAACAGGTATGACATCAACGAACACAATTCCTCGGCAGTGACGTTAGTCACTCTTTGATGTCTGTTAAACAACACATATCTCCAATACATCAAAATTATAATTTGCGAAATTACAATGATCTTTGCAGATAGAAATGTACAGTTTTTTTATGACTGATGAATTGGTATTTAAATGTGTATACAAATTAATATTCCCGATTGGAAAAACCCAACGGAGCTTTTAAGAAAGTCTGAGGTTATCTGTGGAATCGGGTGGCCTGATCCACGAGATATATTTATGTTTGTTTTGTTACCTGTGTGGAGACACTTTTGTGTCATGTTTACAGCAGGTGATCAGCAGAAAGCGGATTGGAAACCTAGCTATCCTCCCTACCATGCTGTTAAAGTCTCGTAAAAGTTCATTACAAACACAGCCAAGTGTGTATGTATGTTTGTTGATACCTGGGCCGCGTGCTGGTTGTAACCTACCTGTGTAATACCTGTGAAATACATATATGTCATAGCCACCCACTAAGTAGAAACAAATTTAAATTCAAACGTGGGTAAAATGTGTTGTCTGCAGTACACACATATATGTAGCTCTGGTGACCGATATATACAACACAATGATAATTTATGTATATTCTTCCGTGTAGTAATTCTCCTTGTCTTAGCTTTAATGAAATAACAGTGTTGACACCTGGCTTCATAACAGGCAGAGACTGCACCTTCTCTTTCTGGAGAAATATTTACATAATTAAAGCATTAGCGTATGTGTATATCATGGTGGGGAAAATGTTGCATTCCAAGTTTAATTTTATCATGTCTATATATCACTTTCTCCTTGAATAAAAAATTATCAGGGCCTACAATCTTGTTATGTAGGTTAATGTAGAAAGACTTATTGCAACACTGCAGTACAACGCGTAGGTAGTGAATAGGTTACGGTGATATGAGCTAACAAGTTATTTATGAAAATGTTCTAGGGACCTGTGCCTCCTTTCAAAACTTAATTAGGTAACAAATAAAAGACATCTCTGTGAACAACATCTCTCTGATAGTCCCAGAACATCGCATACTTTCATAGCTAGTGAAAAACATTATGAATTTAAGAGAGAAAAAAATCTTCAGAATCATTTACATGATGTTGATTGAAGGTTTTTTTTAAATAAATACTGAATATCGCCATAAAAGCAAGATTATATTTGATACAAACCTGCGTTATGTCACTTCTCGGTTTGAAACCTCTCAGCTTTCTCCACTTCTGTGGTAAATATACGCCACAGTTTACCCGATATTTAAAAATATGTTCTCATGACAAGTGCAAGATGTCAATGATTATGGAGATTTTTTTATGGTCGCCATCATGAACTCATTTGGAAAAAATTTATTTCCTTGTGCAAAATGAGATTTGGTATGTTTGATGCCGACAAGTAAACGTAATGCTTTCTTTGTTGTTATTCGTGCCCTTATTAGAGAGGATAACGTTACTTATTTAGATGGACAAAGAATTACTTTGCGGATGTCGTCGATGAAGCAGAAAACGCTTATCCTTCCGGAACATCTGGGCGTATTTTCTTTTTAACTTCTTCAACAGTCTCTTTGTAAATCTATTTATTCGTTTGTTGCCTTGGTTCCGTTTATCTAACTCTATGGACACATCGTACTTTCTTCATTATATTTGTTTTCAAGATTTGGTGATAATTTCACTTCGTATTTATATACATAGTGTTAAACCAGTTCGTATGTATTAAGACCGATAGACAAAAGATATGTCAAATACATTATAACAATGGACAAAAAGAATCATTAGACCTGTTTTATTTGTGTGTTATAATGCAACAGGGAATTAGATTGTTGGAACCACACACGAAATTCTCTTGGTATATTAACACCTCACTGAGAGACTTGACGCATATTAGCCTCTTTTTTACCTCCGCACCTGTAAGGTTCGCGTGCGGTCACATGCATAGTGCTAACTTTGTCTCTTCAGGCATATTAATGCTAAAAGAAGCGAAAACCCGGTGATGTATTTGACTGCATTTATTTGTGAATTTCCCTCTGTCCTGGACACATGTCTGAACAGACACTTCTCTTTCCCGTGGTTAACTATGATGCTCTTTGTACAAGTTTCATAAACAAAGCCATTTATGACTTCAAACCTTTCAATCCAAATCCATAGTAAATATTAACCTATACGATCAGCAAACGGCGCCCAACCTACATATCTGAGGGAGCAGCAACCCCGCCAGGTTCTGTTTGGAATGGAGATCATCCAAACCACAAAGCATGTTGTGTTAGTTAAATGGGTTTTTGTTTTTAAAGAGTATCCAGATTGACGAGATACTGCAGTGCTAACTTATGAATGTGTTAAGTTTTACTAGCTTGATAAAAAGGAACTACTGTACAAGGATATCATTACAGGATTGCACAAAAAAGGTTTTTAGTCATTCTTTTATATGTTAAATCACACAAATAAACAGACTTATAGCTTTCTAACGTGAGAGCAGCGTAATGGTTTGTGTCGGTGAACGGGTAGCGATAGTCCCATGATGGCTCCTTGTACACGACTAGTGTTAAAGCTCTGAATACATACAATCGTAAGCCCATTGATAAAAGTAGTGTACTACCTACTACAAGTGAATGAGTATGGGCTGGCACTCTTCAATGAGCCAAATATGAATAACAATAGAGCGTGGAGTGTTCATCGGCCATAACAAGCGATATAAATCCGAACACCAGGTAGTGTAGACTTTACCGCGCGACAGTGAGGATGTGACAGGACACACGGCCGGAGCTGTCATGTGTTGAGTTATGTAGACAACTCTTAACTCTGTAAAACAGATATTGTCAAGTGTATCATCGTGGACTTATATAATCATGGAGGATTCTAAAAGGCCATGTAGAACCAAAAAAAGTTCGGAGACGTCTACCTCTTCCCTCTCTTGTGCTGAAGACATGACCAGTGAATTTGGAGAAAAATATAACTTTCGACGCAGTTCTCTCGTGAACAGGGTCGTTAGTGAAAGAAAACGCAAAGAGGCCAAACAGCCGAAGCCGAAGTCAAAACCACCTCCACTGAGTAAATACCGCCGGAAAGCAGCCAATTCCAGAGAGAGGGGTCGTATGGAGGATATTAATGCAGCTTTTGAAGTATTAAAGGGAGTTTTACCGGACATCGAGGCATGTCCTTCATCCAAAATGACAAAAATCACCACACTCAGACTAGCCATGAACTATATATCCGCATTACGAAACAGTCTCGGGTACGAGGACGACCTCAACTCTGACGCATCCTCTTCTCGGTCGTCCAACATGTCCTCTGGGGAGGAGGATCTGTGTCTTAGTCCCTCCTCTGCCTCTGCACCAGAAGACTTCTTAAGTTCGGAGGACATCGCTTCATCAGACGGTTTAGACCTCGACATCCAAGTTCCATCAGAATTGCTGCTTAGCTAATGCACGCGAGTGTTGTACGGCAACTTTCATCATCATCCTTCGGAGCCTCATCGACATTCTCATCGTGTGAACTTATCATCCTGCGTAAGGAAGCCTTTACTGGGATTTTGAACAGAAAATATGATAACACAGGAAAGAGACCTGTATTGGATATGTATTGCAGGAAAATGGACCTGTGTAAAATGTGTTATTATGGGGTGGACTACCCCATGGTAAACATTATGGGGATTCAATGAGCCAGTGTTTACTCGTATGACTGTATCAATATTACCTCTGTAAATATGTGTGAGAAATCATAGAAAGTACGTATACTCGTGAACATACTAAGTAGTGATCGAGTAGCTTGGATATGAACGTTACACACGTGTAAAATACGTGATGGACGCATGCACGTGTGAAGGAACGTGTAGTCCCGTGGATTATTATTTTTTATATAGCATGACTATTGTCTCAGACTTTGGAGGTGAAAGGATTTATGGACAACTAGTGTTAATCGTAAGTGAGCAACAACGTATCCATCACTGGACATTCATTCATTCCCACATCTGTGACTAACTCAAAGGACGAATATTTTGATGAACACATATTTTTTACCAAATGAAGATTTATTTTATTTTTTTTATTGAACGAAATATTCCTGTTGTCAAAATAGAGTTTATAGATATATATACATTGTTTCAATAATAATTGTTAAACTCTTTTTCTACAAACTCATTCTTCCAATTGTATGAGAGAAAAGCTTGGCTGTTGTGAATTACGCAATATCAGTTATGATTAGGATTTTTACATGAAACTAACCAGATATTCAAAACACCTTTTTATTACATATTTCTTTTCCAAGATTTCTGTTTTGAAATACATATCTGAAAAAAAAAACATAAATATGTATAAAGAAAAACCAGATAAGATCACTGAAAACACCAACGGACGCTTGTATACATATATGTAACAGCCAGGCTGTGTGTGTTGGATATGACCGTGTACAGGCGAGTGTGAACGTATACCTCAGCAGGTACTCTCAGATGGTATATACCATTGCAATATTGAAATAATAATGTTGACAAAAAGTTATGTCTTTGTATTTTTTCACTCTTTAAAAGTTTCAATTTTTTCTCGTTATTCAGAACTGTTATCTTATCAAAAGGTGAAATGATGTTTTATTTGGGAAAGGTTTGCATTCTTACACTTATGCTTTCAATAGAAAGGCTACTTTTATCTATGAGGCGGAGTGCCGGGTAATTTTTTTTCATGGTACGTTTTCTGAACGAATCAGGGGGGAAGAGAGAACTTGAGCGTGTTAAATGGCGTTGGTCAAATACTTACATGACCCGGTTGGGAAGGACGCAACGCTGTGACACTAGGTTGGCCTGTTACGTGACCCGAGTGGGACAGAACGCAACACTGTGACACTGTAGGTCATATAAATAGACGTGAACAACGAAAGTCCCCAACATCATCAGGACTTTGCATTATATGAACAACATCATTGATCTATATCAAACCAATACCTTCAAACATGTAGACGACATGTATTTTAAAGGCACACTGCTGCTGATTACAACTCCATGAACAGCAAACCGACAATGACTAGGCTATCATATTCATGTATATAGTCTGACGTGCTCATTAGTGGGGAGGCGACAGTGCAACACTTCTCCTTAGTTCGCTAAAACTGTTCACTGTTTAAATCTCTTATCTTTCCGTCGTGAGTTCATTTAAATAGCATATCCTATCTCTCAGATTTAAACCTGTCGCATTATTTCTGCCTATTGGCAATGCCGTGGTTCATAATTTGATTTAAACAATATTTTACTTTGTCTTTTTTGTGTTTTCTCTACAACGAGAGGTCGGAGAATCGTAAACCCGTCTCCCGGATATAATTACCGGTAGTTGATGATGTGGAAAAAATGGGCTGTCTCTCGGTGTATACAGCGACCTGACAATCTCAATATTCGAGATATTATCTGAATTTTGTTCCTTTTTATTTTGATACGTACAGAATATCCAGTGCTACAATAGTAAAGATAGTAGAAGGATATCCACAGATTTGGTATGGTGCACTGTATAGTGGTGTAAAGACAATGATGTCAACTTAGGTATATCTACAGTAAGTATGTCGATGTATATCACGTGATGTTACATGCGTAATAAAAGGGAGTGGACAGGTGAGCTCACTCCCTACACAACCCTCTATAGAGCCCTATCACAATTATAAAACACTCAACACTACTTTAGTCCCATCATCTCGGTACAATACCCCACACTGTCTAGTCTCCCCTTCAGTCTCATCACCTCGCTACAACACCCCACACTGTCTAGTCTCCCTCAGTCCAATCACCTCGCTAATACACCCCACACTGTCTAGTCTCCCTCAGTCCAACCACCTTGCTATTACACCCCACACTGTCTAGTCCCCCTTCAGTCCCATCACCTCGCTGCTACATCCCACACTGTCTAGTTCCCCTTCAGTCCCATCACCTCGATACAACACCTCACACTGCCTAGTCCTTCTTCAGTCCCATCACCTCGCTACAACACCCCACACTGTCGAGTTCCCCTTCAGTCCCATCCCCTCGCTACAGCACCTCACACTGTCTAGTCCCACTTCAGTCCCATCACCTCGCTACAACATTCCACACTATCTAGTCCCCCTTCACTCCCATCACCTCGCTACAACACCCCACACTGTCTAGTTACCCTCAATCCCATCACCTCGCTACAACTTCCCACACTCTCTAGTCCCCCTTCAATCCCATCACCTTGCTACAACACCCCTCACTGTCTAGTCGCCCTCCGTCCCATCACCTCGCTACAACACTCCACACTGTCTAGTCCTTCTTCAGTCCCATCACCTCGCTACAACACCCCACACTGTCTAGTCCCCATTCAGTCCCGTCACCTCGCTACAACACCCCACACTGTCTAGTCCCCCTTCAGTCCCATCACCCCGCTACAGCACTCCACGCTCTCTTGTTCCCCTTCTAGTTACAACACTCCACACTGTCTCGTCCCCCTTCAGTCCCATCACCTCGCTATAACACCCCACACTGTCTAGTCCCCCTCTGCAAACTCTGCCTAGTCACACCCAACATTGCCTCCCTAAAATTAACCACGATGTATTCTGATGGTATGATGATATTAAAAATATGAGGATGCGAGTAAATAGTCATTAGTTACGGACCAATTGTTATTTAACGAATATGAAGAAACGTTTTTCTCTCTAGTCAGACATTGTAGCGGTGGTGTCTCTTTTGAGCAGTTTTTATGACGGAAGTCAACCATCTGACGGAAGTACTTTTCACGTGTCAGAAATGTCATTGAAGTGGTCCTATCTGGTCAGTCTAGCAACGAAACGTTGAAGATGTAGTTTTTCGTTTTATTAAACATCCTATACTGAAATAAACAGCTATACAAGAGAATCGTAACGAAGATACGAGGGTGTGTGTGCACTTTTAGACAGACGGACCACCCATAATCGTGATCGAGCGATACTTAAAATACAAAATTTGACAGAGCGTAAAAAAGTCAGGCAGCATCTTCTACACAGTAATACCCGGGTAGAGACATACTGCAATGTCCTCTTCGTGACTAGGACACCGAGTCACCATATAAGGTCCTCTCAGTCGGAACTTTCTATTCAAAGACGAGAATTCGGACAAACAGGTGTTGGGTATCAATGTTACCTACACCATACAGTACACACCAAGAGGCGAGACTTGGGGAACACTTGTGATGCACTGCAGAATAACTTTATAAAACTTAAAAGATTTTCTAATATATATCCACCTTGCTAAATGATACAACGTCAGAAGGTTCCATTGGACGAATACATATCTATCTGATGGTCGACGGATACATATGTATCTAATGGTCGGAGGATACATATGTATCTAATGGTCGGAGGATACATATGTATCTAATGGTCGGAGGATACATATGTATCTGATGGTCGGCGGATATATATGTATCTGATGGTCGGCGGATACATATGTATTTAATGGTCGGCGGATACATATGTATCTGATGGTCGGCGGATACATATGTATTTAATGGTCGACGGATACATATGTATCTGATGGTCGGCGGATACATATGTATCTGATGGTCGGCGGATGCATATGTATCGGAAGGTCGGCAAATACAGATGTATTTAATGGTTGGCGGATAAATATGTATCTGATGGTCGGCGGAAACATATGTATCTAATGGTCGGCGGATACATATGCATCTAATGGTCGGCGGATACATATGTATTTAATGGTCGGCGGATGCATATGTATTTGATGGTCGGCGGATACATATGTATCTGATGGTCGGCGGATGCATATGTATCGGAAGGTCGGCAAATACAGATGTATTTAATGGTTGACGGATAAATATGTATCTGATGGTCGGCGGATACATATGTATCTAATGGTCGGCGGATACATATGTATCTGAAGGTCCGTGGATACATATGTATCTGATGGTCGGCGAGTACATATGTATCTGATGGTCTGCGAATACATATCTGATGGTCGGCGGATACATATGTATTTAATGGTCGGTGGATACATATGTATTTGGTGGTCGGCGGATACATATGTATCTGATGGTCGGCGGATCATATGTATCGGAAGGTCGGCAAATACAGATGTATTTAATGGTTGGCGGATACATATGAATTTAATGGTCGGCGGATACATATGTATCTGATGGTCGGCAAATACATATCTATTTAATGGTCGGCGGATACATATGTATCTGATGGTCGGCGGACACGTATGTATTTGATGGTCGGCGAATACATATGTATCTGAAGGTCGGTGGATACATATGTATCTGATGGCCGGCGGATACATATGTATCTGATGGTCGATGGATACAAATGTATCTGATGGTCGGCAAATACATATGTATCTGAAGGTCGGTGGATACATATCTATCTGATGGTCTGCGAATACATATGTATCTGATGGTCGGCGAGTACATATGTATCTGATGGCGGCGGATACATATGT